TTTCATAATTTAATTGCTCTACACTAATATTATATCATATGTCTAAAAGGCAAGACTTTAAATACATTTTTATTTCTCATAATTTCAACTAGAATCTACATATTCAATTTTACTAATAACTTTATTACAGTCCATCAAAATTTCCTATTAATTAAATTTTTAGTGATTATTTTTTAATTGTCTTGAAATTTACTAAAATCTAAATCTTTTTGTTTAATTTACAATTCATTATATCAATTTTCACTGCAAATTATAAGAAATGCTTAAGAAATTTGGATTTTTTTTCCTCTTGGCCCATTTACATTTCAATATATAAAACTTTAACAGCAAATATCCAACAATCTTTACAAGTTTCGATGTTTCCATTATGCTGTTACTTTTATATTTTTCATATTTAACTTTAACAATTATCGACAAAGACTTCTTTCTGATTCATGTGACAGGAAATTATAACTCAAAAAGAGTGATAAAACTGTTGAATGATTATCTTTTTATTCTTCATTATCCGAGTTTTATTTTCCAATTAAAACATATTTGTTTTCAATAGAAATTATTGAGAAATACACTAAAATATACAGTCATTTCTTTCTGATTCATTATAGAAACTTTAACAAGAAATTATAAGTAAAAAATAAGGGACAAAACATTTAAATTCATACATTTGTATTCTTTATTGTCTTGCTTTCATTTTCCATTTAAAATATGATTGTTCTCAATAGTAATTATTGAGAAATACACTAAATCTAAATTCAATTCTTTCTGATTCATACTAGAAACTTTGACAAGAAATTATAAATCAAAAATGAGGAATAAAACTTTTGAATTATTATATTTTACCTTATTGTCCTACTTTCATTTTCCATTTAAAAAATGATTGTTTTTCATAGTAATTATTGAGAAATACACTAAAATCTAAATTCACTTCTTTCTGATTCATACTAGAAACTTTGACAAGAAATTATAACTCAAAAATAAGGGTTAAAACTTTTGAATTATTATATTTTTTTATTCCTTATTGTCTTAATTTCATTTTCCATCTAAAATATGATTGTTTTCAATAGTAATTATTGAGAAATATACTAAAATCTAAAGTCACTTCTTTCTGATTCGTACTAGAAACTTAGACAAGGAATGATAACTCAAATAAGGGTTAAAACTTTTGAATTATTATAGTTTTATTCCTTATTATCCGAGTTTTATGAAAACAATCATATTTTACATGATTGTTTTCAATAGTGATTATTAAGAAATACACTAAAATATAAAAACACTTCTTTCTGATTCATTATAGAAACTTTAACAAGATATTATAAGTAAAAAAAAAAAAGGATTAAACTTTGAAATTAATACATGTGTATTCTTTATTGTCCTACTTCCATGTTCCATTTAAAATATGATTGTTTTCATTAGTAATTATTAAGAAATAGACTAAAATCTAAAATCATTATAGAAAAAAATAAGGAATTAAACTTTTCAATTATTATACTTTTTAAACATTATATTTCTATTGATTATTGTACATTTCCTTAATATCAAATTTCAATATAAAAAAGCAGCAAATTATACAAAATCTTTATGAAATACAACATTTAAATTACCAAATTTTACTAAAAAATTACTCAAATTTTCATATATAATTTAATTCTGAATTATCGAGATGCGTGGTAACAAGAAGACACTTAGTTTTAGTATATTTAATTTTCATATTATCTACATTGAAATTTATTATAACCAATTTCATTCCATATATTTATTTCGTATAGTCTTAATCTCACTTTCAATAATCAATTTCAATATTTTTATTATAAATTTATCGATAAATATGATTGAATTTAAAGACAATTATTTTTGGTCGATTTAAATTTCATTGAAACTTTCACAACTTTGCAAATTACAAGAAATACTGAAAAGATTACTCATTTCACAAATAATATATTTCTTTATTATTAAAAAAAATAGTTTTCATTGGCATTAACTCCAAGTTTCATACATAATTATAATAAGAAATTAAAAAAATCATAAGTTCATATATAAGGCAATTATTTAAACATACCAAAAAAAAAAGTTAGTAAAACTTCTATTACGTCCGACCTAATTATCGTACAATTAACGTAATTACTTAAATTAAGAAATTTCTTATAAATGGATAATTAGCAAAAAAAAAAAGCAATTATAAATTCCATAAATTAACTAATTATAAATTGTATTACATTGTTGGACCACCCTGTACATTCATACAGAACGAAACGCATTTATTTATTTATTTTGCTTCCTAATTGATATTGGCTGTATAAACACACACACTTAAACTGGATTACGACTTGGCAGAACCGCTTCAAATTGAAAAACCTTATTTATTTATTCACAATTTAATTTACGAACTGTGCGCATAGGGAACCGAAACACTCGATGTTTTAAAGCAGAAAAAAAAATATGTAACACGACCGTTACGCAACACCTCTTTCGCAACGAGTGTGTGTGCGTTCCAATTGTCGAATGATTGCGCAACAGAGCGAATCGATTGGGAATAATTCGTCAGTGTATTTAACATTGAATAGTAGCAAAAATTTTGGGTATTACCTAATTATAGAAATGTTACGTTATTACTTTTTATGGAATAATACAAAAACTTTGATACATCTTATCTTTTGTTTACTATTGCGGATAAAGGTATAAACCGAATTCGTGGGAATTACCTGTAGAATTTGTAACAATCAAGTAGTGAGTAATAGCTCAGGATGTAAGTACACGTGTACACGTGTGAACTTTAAGATTTTGCATGTTTTTTTTTTGGAAATTTTTGTTTGCAGGAAGCAAACGTTCACGTGATTTCAATTTCAAGTTCAAGGATGTTTCAGGAGGAAGTCAAATTACATCCAGTTATGCGTTAATTTAAATTTTTTGTTTCTCGCAGTTAGTTCAAGGCGAAATGTAAATTTCCGAAGAGACAGAGTGAAAAAACGAGTGGGAAATAACAGCGCTTCTAAGAACTGAGTGCATTATGTAATGATTACATTGAATATTCTTAAAATAACTTTCGTATTTGGATGAATGTTTGGAAAAGGTATTTATTTGACAACAAAGTAAAGTGGACATTCAGTTGACGAATTGAAAAATCTCCGAAAGCGGAAAAGTTCGTAAACCGAATTTGTATTAATGTAAATTTGATTCTCAAAGTCCAGAAAAATCGATAATTTTACTTTAACTCTTTTTATTAAATAAGATAAATTTGATTGCAATTATAAATTAGGAGATAATTAAAAATGAATCGCAGCTGTTACGAATGTAATAAAAAAAAATAGGAGATTATTGCAGAAAATCGCCTTATATGGTTATGGAAACACCTTCCATTTACGTCACGATAAAACAATTTTTGACGCAAAGTGACAGCTGTCATTTCACGACCCAATTAAAAAATTTACGCGATTACGACATAATGAACTAAAACTTATATAAAAATATACATTTCTTCAATTAACTTTCACATTTAGAATATATTTCAAATTACAAAGGTCAGGAAAACGTGAATAAATATTCAATATAATTTATTTAATTTAATTTTTTTCTTAATTAAATATATTTTATACAAGAATTTTAAACAATGCGACAAATATATTGTATAAAATGTAGATTAATGTAACGCTGTTTAACCTAACCTATTTTTCTTAATTGACATTACATAATCATTCTCCAGTCTAACAATTTTCAACTTATTTTTTTCTTGTGATGGTAAGACATACATTTAACCTTACATAACCTATCCTACTAAGACAATGAACAGACCACATAACTTAACATAACAGAACGTAGCTTAACTCAACCAAACGTCAATATAGAAATAACATATTCCTAATCATATCTTTCTCCAGACCAACAATTTTCAACCTAACCTATTATGATACCTAGCCTTTTTTTGTAGATATAGAATAAGCTTTTAAGGTTAACCTAACATAAAAAAACAATGAGCAGACAACAACTTAACTATCAATTTTCAACCTAACCTATTTTTTGGAAAGGATAAGGCATACGGTTTATCTTATATAACTTACCCTAATAAATAATGAACAGACAAATTAATTTAATCTACTAAAACATAGCTTTATTCAACCAAACATGAATGACAAATTTTAATTAGTTCCACTTTTATCAGTAAAATTAATGTAATAAATGGAACTTAATAAATTCAACTTATAACTTAATTTAACAGAAAACAGCTTATTTAACCAAACCAAAATATTACATTTTAATTTGTTTTACTTTCAATTGTGTTGCTAATGTTAATACATAAAAAAATAGACTATTGTAATACATAATAACGCAGAGCAAGGTTTTATAATTGAGATGGATAAAAATAAATTATTTATATGAAACAATTTTGCGGTTTACGAAGCATTACATAAGACACATGAATTTGCGAATGCTATTTTCACACTCTTTACTTATACAACAGTTTTTAGCAGTAAAATTAGTATAGAAACCTGTTTTTCCCTCAATGACAATACGACTTTTTTTTGTGTTCGGAACCAGCAAAATGGAAAATTCGTCGCATTGAACGATGATCAACCTTGAAGTAAAACTTATTTCGCAAAAGTCCGAAGCAGCGTATTTTTAGAAGCAGAAAAAATAAATTAAAAAAAACATAAAAAATGCATGCATGATAATGATTCGATTGTTTGTAGATTTCTGAATCGTAATGATTACACAAAATGCGCTAAAATGGAAATGGAAGAGAAAAATAATGAAATCGCATAATAATAGGTTTCGGATGTAAATACTGAAAATGCAATCGAAATTGCGGAAAATTACTGAAGATTTGGAGAAATAGCAGTTGCGTCCATGTAGTGGACGTGTACGATATAGTAGTACACTCTACATCTATACACACGGATCTATTTATTTTTATGTTTAAGTCGGGGTATTCAAAATAGAAATTTTATGGTGGATACGTAGCCAATTTACGGCCGTTGCCAAAGTACTAGTGAAAAATAAACCCGCCGGTCGCCGTTTGGATGGATATTCGGGCAGTGTTTGAATCCGAGCTCAGCAGCAGTTGTAGTAGTAGTAGTAGTATTACGACAACTGCAAAATCGTTTTGCGCGAAACACGAAGAAAAATAGTAAAGAAGAAAAAGAAAAATCTGCAGACGCATTAATTTTGATGTTGTTTTTGTGCTCGCCGCAAATACAAGAAGTCCAGTTGACCTGTGGTGATTTACTGTGGATGTTAATGCGCACCAATCGAAAATGGAAATGAACGTTTTGTACTCTGAGGTAACTATCATCAACATGATCATCATTACTATCATCATCATCCTGTTTGCATCAGCGATGTCTGTGAATAATAATTGGGTTTTGATGTATCAGCCCTTGACCTATATATTATGACCAACATCCAAGTTTCATTGGATTAAAGTGGTTTAAATAAATCAACTTCGCGGACCGCAATTTATTTATTTATCTCCTGCGTGTCTACTACAGTTTTTTCTTCTTCTTGTTGTTGTTGTTGTTGACATGCGTCGGTCTGTAAGCATTATTCAATTGTTATGTTTTTCTCTTTGCTCTTTCTTTTTGCGATCATTTCCAAGGAGCTCTTATCGCGAATGAACGGAACTCGCTTTGCATTTTTTCGGATCGAATTTCTTTAGGTAGGCGGGTGTCATCTTCAATGAAGGAAACGCGCCAATATTATGGCAATGATGATTACATCACAATGTCGATTGAATACAATAGGTGGAGATTTTTTTGTTGATCAAAGTGGTTTATTTCCAATCGTGCATTCCCATCGTGTAGGCCGGTTTTATTTTTATTTATTTATTTTTTGCAGACCTCAAAGCGTTTTCTATGTCAGTGTCGGAATACGTAAAGATATATGCTTACAGCAAACTCTATACGCGTAAGGACATTTCGTTTTAAATGTATTTGCTTATTTATTAGATCATTAGACTTGTACAACAATCTTTGACCGTCAACTATAAAATCCTTCGATCTTTCGTTTAACGCAAATTTGTGTAGACTCAAAAAATTGAACTATCCTATTATGTATATCAGTGTTTCTCAACCTATTTGTCGTACGACTCAACGTTTTGTTTGTAATTAAACGTTCTGACGTAAGGTGACAGCTGTCATTTAATTTCATTATTGTATAAGTATTTCTGTAAATTTATACTCAAAAACTTATCTACTTTATACAATTCGATCATTTTACTAAACAAAATAAAATAAGCAGAACTGTTATTTCGTGATCCAATAAAAATGTTACTAATTTAACAGTAAATTTTGGTAAATCCATGGATATTTCATTTTATGCAACACAAATTGATTAACTTTCATAAACACTAAAAAAATTAAATGTTATGTATATCACTGTTTCTAAACCTTTCTGTCGCGCGACTCAAAGTATTTGTTTGTAATTGATCTTTTTGACATAAGGTGACAGTTGTCATTTCATTTCATAATTGTATATTTACACACAAAAACTTGTTTAATTTATATAATTGGATGATTTTACTATCAAAATAAATAGAATTTGACTGCTGCCATTTCATGTCCCAATAAAAATAAATAAATTTAATTAATATGTTTAATATAATGTAATATGAAAAATATATTTAACTAAACAATTTCACGACACAACATATTTGTTTCTAATTGTCCGCTATGACGTAAGATGACAGCTGTCATTTCATGACGCAATAATTTTTTTTCTAATTTAACAGTAAATTTCGGTAAATCTAAGAACTTTTGGATTTCATTAAAATGTTTAATTTATGAAAGAAACTAAAAAATCGCGCGACCCAACATATTTGTTTCTAATTGTAATCTTTGACATAAAGTGACAGCTGTCATTTCACGACCCATCAAGAATATAACTAATTTAACAGTATTTGTATTTAATAATAATTGACAGCTGTCATTTCGCAATCCAATAAAAATATAACTAATTTAAATTTAAAAACTTTCGGATTTCATTAATTGAAAAAAGCTATTGAAAAAATTTGATAGAAAAAATAATGTTCATTTAAAAACTACAGTACATTTGTTTGTTAAGTGTATGTGTACGTAATCATATACAGAAATTTGCATGTGCGATAAAAAAAATGAAGGTTTAGAACACAAACAAAAGCGAAAAAAAATGAGTGACTGCATATCAAGGTTGAACAAATCTATAAGTATATTGTTTGGTGTAACTTTAATAGTTTTCAACTTAAGTTTAAATTTACATATTGGCATAGATTTCATAAACAAATTGTCCCTTGCACAATAAAATTAATGATAATTTATATAATCTTAACATAATTACATTTTATTGTTTATCTATGGAATTGTTAGACAGTTTTCAATAATATATTGTACATTTCTTACATAATTTCAAATTGTTTTCGTCTTTTAGTCAATGTTTTGCTTTATTTGTTATTTAGATTATATATTTCCTATATTGTTACTTATTACCATAGTAATCGCAAAATTTTAGATTGTGTATAGCAAATCGTGATTATCAGGAGAAGTTCAAACAAAATCTTTGAAACCGGACTAATGGAGGACTTTAAAACATAAAATAAAATGAACAGCATTAAAAAAAAAAATTTCTTATTATTATTATTTTGCTCAATTAAAATTTAGTATGTTTTTAAATTTGGAATCCGCACTGATCGAAGCCGCATTCTGTATACGTTTTTTGTGGTTATCCAAAAATAAAATATCAAAATTTTGGTAAAAGTATTATTAGTAAATCCACACATATTTTCAAATAAAAATAAAAAAAATCATTACAGATCAGAATTTAATTGAAAACGTTCGATGACCCAGGATGAGAAATAAAAATAAATATAACCGTTAATTAGTTCGAACTGACACAAATACACGGCAGATGCCAAAAACTATATTTAAATCAAATTGTATACCAACAGACACCACTGACTGACTAACTCACTTTTCATAATAGAATCTTTAAATACATTTGTTGGCGCCTTTCAAAAACAATCAGCAAACATTTACGCACAAAAAATAAAAGTTATTTTTTTTTTGTAAATTCTATTAATGATTATGTTTTCATTCTCTTAAGATTTAAACATTGAATAAAAAAAAAACAATTATTGTTATGTATATAAATTAAAACTTTTGAAGTTAAGTAAAAAAATACATAAATAATAGTTTTTAAAAAATTCTCTCAAAGATTCTTTAATTAATTTTCTTGATGATTTTTAAAGTAAATTAAAAAAAAAAATTAATATTCTCTATATAGATTAGAATTTCTAATATTTACAACTCTTTCTTTTAATTTAGTAATAAAAATACACAAAATATTGTTTTAAAGATATTTTTTATTCTGTTCATGTTTTGAACATAGAATAAAACAAACAATTATTGTTATTATCTATGTAAATTATAAACTTTAAATACTTTTGGAGCCTTTCGAACAAGCACTAAACTTTTTTACAAAAATTACAGTTTTTTCAATGCTTTTAAAGTTACATTAAACAATAATTGTTATTGTTAATATTATTGGAACCTTTTAAGTAATCACTAAAGATTTTTTTACAAAAATTACAGTTTTTTCAATGCTTTTAACGTAAATTAAACAATAATTGTTATTATTCATATAAATCTCAATGATTTGTTGTATTCAATTTCCTTTGATAGCATTTGCATATTCCGTTTCTTTTTAGTTTTAAAATAATTGTACTAAGCAACCTTTAATTACCAACGAACATGAGGTCTTTCCTACTTTCTTCCTTCATGAATTAATTGCTTAGCAAATCGTTTCCGTACTAATTCATATAAAAAAAAGACCTACATTTTCATTGATTATCAACAATTTCCATACCTTTACACAAATAATAATAAGCATAGTAAATATATAATTTAATTAAATTAAACTTTGCTTTTAATTCTTCTTGCGTATTTAACTTTTTTTATTGAAATTCCAAGGTTGTTTCATGCGAATTTCTTTTGGCTATTATGAAAATAGAATGCGTGCGAAAATATGTGCTCTTGAAGTGTCGCTCGAATGGCCTACGTACGTACAAACGTCCGACAAAAAAACAGCTAAAGAATATTAAATCTAATTGAATGATTTTGTACGTCGTTCGCGTATAAAAGAATACTCGAAATACTCGAGGTCGTTCTATAATTAAGTTGTTTATTTCCATGATTTTTTTGTCACATAATTTTTGCAAATTTACTGATCAACTGTTACATTTAATTAAACCTAGAACATATTTAAGTGCATATAAAGTAAAAACTGAAATATTTAACAACTGATATTATATAATCAAAATAGTGTTAAAATTTTTATAAGGTTAGGTTATGTAAGTTTAATGCGGACTATGAACATACGTGATTACTATATGCAAAAATCTATAATTAAGATGTCACATAATGAAGTACAAAGTTATTATTTATCAAATAGATTACAAAATATAATCATTCATAATAATTGGAATTGCAATTATTTTTGAGTTAGGTTAGATTTACAGACGTTAGATTTTATTGGATTCAATTAAATGTTTTAGTTATTTATTTATTATTAAAATAATTTAATTAAAACAATTATTGGTTAATAAATTATAACGAAAAATTAAAAAAAAACTGTTATAAAATATGCATAACCTCAAATACAAATGTATTTCCGAAATACTAAAATTATAGTTCAATTTATAATTAAATTTATATACACTTGTTTATTTTTTTTGAAATCATCAACATTGGTTATAAGTCCTTTTTATTGACATATCAATGAATGTTGAATCCAAATATATCTAAATATTATTGAAATTTTTGTTTATAACAATTTTTCAATTTTGTTTTTTTTTGGCAATGTCAGTTAAACTGATATTAACAGTGGCAAAGTGCTTTCATCTGTATTTCCAACATCTTACATACATTTATGTCATTGTCAAACATATGTATGTCAATTATGTCAAAAATTGTATGTCAATTATGTCAAACGTACATTAGCATTATTATACATTATTATACGAAAATTTAAATAAAAAAAACATTGGTTACGAGTTCTTTTTGTTGACATATCAATCGCAAAAAATGTCATTAGTTGACAATAGTTGAATGTTGAATGTTGAATCCAAAGATATCTAAATATTATTGAAATTTTAGTTTCTAACAATTTTACAATTTCAATTTTTTTTTAAACCATACTTTCTTGACATGTGATGTGTAGCAATTACTATTCGTTTTCAATCCAATGTCAGTTAAACTGATATTAACAGTGGCAAAGTGCTTTCATTTGTATTTCCAACGTCTTACACACAATT